TTTTTTTTAAGGTTTTTAATTTTGGCTAAGGGGAGGGGCATACAGCTTTAAATGGTGATATATTGTATTTATTTTACCACCGAAGAAAAGTTTTAAAGAAAACATGCCCTCTTAACCCGTGGATTTTCAAATTTCCAATGGTCCTTGGACACCGCATGTGCTATGAACGCTTCCATCAGGAAAAAAATTCAAAACATAAGCGAATTTGAGGTAAAAATAGTTTTATCTTATCAAAATCATGTTATTCTATGTCTCATTTCAACTTTGGCCAAAAATAAATGGTGTGCATGACCAGCATGCACGACAAGAGTGAAAAACCGAGGCTTTTCTTTAACTTCAGGATTTCATATTCAACTTTTAACTTTTAACTTTCAAACATTAAAGGGTAAGTTTTATGGTGAAGGTGGTGAAGGGAGGTAATGGTGAAGGGAGGGTCATGTATTTTCTGCCAGTCACTCAGGGAGGCTCAAGCAAAAATATTGATAGCTTTGGGGGGCTGCTATCTGCAGTCCCACTAAATCAAGATTCAATTCAGATAATTTCCCCTATACAAGTCAATATAAGTGAATATGTGTTTTTGTGCACAGCGGGTCAGTAAATAGAACAAAGAACAAACCTTGCTACACAGAGCCAACCCAAACACAATCACAGCGACCACACAGAGAGAAATGCACTTCAGTAGTTTGATCATTTTCCATGGCGTCTGTTCATCTTCAATGATGGGGATCTCTTGGCAGGAATCCCACGGCCTCCTTAAAAGAACACACCAAAATGTAAAACTCCGTCCAGCTGAGGTTAGGAGTACTTTAGTTCTGCACTTTTAAAGGACAATGACTTGTAGCGAGGTATGAAGCAGGTTTAGTAACTAGATATGTTGGTAGGTAACACATAAGTTGCTTTTTTTATTTGTTTTTTTTTTAATCTCATATAATATATACATATACTGAAACAAAGAAAGAGGGGAATAGATGTACAGATAGATATATCTATAGCTTGATAAATATGTCACGTTTTTATTTTTTTATTTATTTGGATATCATCAAGGTATAGCATGCTAAATTTTTGTGTTGTTTTTTTATTTATTTATTTAATGTAGCTCTGTTTGTAGATAAAGGAACTGTTCTATCAAAAACCATTTTAACATAAATGTGCCTTCAGTCAGTTCAATATCATGAACCACTGACTACAATCCAATCCAGCAAAGCCAAAAAGTGAAGCATAAAAAAGTGACTTTTCCACTGAATAACAATTAGTGTCAAAAAAGATGGCTATGACCATAAATGGATTACTGAGGTGGCCTACCTGGGGGCTGAAGTGTCAAGGGCCCCTGGCCTTCACTTACAAATTGTCACTCAAATTAAAGTGATAAAAAAAAATCCTTAAAGACACACAAAATGACCAAAAGAAAAAAAGAAAAAAAATATATGGGATGCCATATCCACCCTGCTTCACCTCACCCTCACTCATCTGGAAGACAAGAGCACCTACGCCAGGATCCTGCTAATTGATTTTAGCTCGGCATTTAATACCATCTAGCCACAGCAGCGGGTGGAGAAACTGCAGCTGCTGGGAGTGAGCACTTACACCTGCAACTGGGTCCTGGACTTCCTCACAGAGAGAAAGCAGACTGTCAAAATCAGCAGCAGGACATCCAACACCATCACAGTGAGTACTGGATCACCACAGGGATGTGTTCTGAGCCTACTACTCTTTACCCTGCTGACGCATGACTGTACTGCCAATCATAACACCAACCACATAATTAAATTTGCTGATGACACGACCGTTGTGGGCCTCATCACAAATGGAGATGAATCAGCATACAGGGATGAGGTGGAGACCCTGATGACTTGGTGCAATTCACACAATCTCTCTCTCAGCACAGGAAAAACAAAGGAGATGATAATTGACTTTAGGAAGGCTCAGGCAGCCCACTATCCTCCTTTAATCATCAGCGGCTCTGTTGTTGAGAGAGTCCTGCACTGTTCTCTTTTAAGTGTTTTAACTTGCGAAACAGTATTTCGTTTTTATGTACCTGCGTAAGAATGACAAATAAAGTGAACCTAGTGAACCTGGATATGTACATATCAACTGAACATCATAATGTGTCACAAACGTTAAACTCACTGGTTAAATAATTGTTTAAAAGACAGAATTGCTTTGGATAAAATTGTCAGAGTTCAATCAAACTTGATTGATTTAAGTGTAATGATAAGTGTTCCTTCCATTCCAGCAATAATATTATCAGAATAGAGTTGTTGTTTTTTTAATTAATCACTGTATGGATCAACAATGACTTCAGACACTTTTAGTAATTTTCAGAATGAAGAAGTTAAATATTGGTAATAAAGTAAATAAAAACATTCATCATTGATTCCTGGCTTGAGTTACTAACTAATAAGTGATTTATATTGGTAAAAACAGTTATATAAAATAATAGAGATATGTCAGCTTTAATTAATAAAGTCTCTACTCACTTGGGTAAGCTCCTGTCGTCATCCATGTTTCTGATTAATGTGAACACTTCCCTTGACAGTTCCTATCTGTGTAACACTCTACTGAGCATCATGTTTTTTGTCTGCATCCAGATGTCATCAACATGCCAACAGAAGCACAATCATGTTTGGTAAATCAGTAAATGGTAACACCCCCAACATGCAGGTTGCTGCAGGTGAAAAGCCAAACAAGGAAAACGGAAACCAGGCTGAGCCAGGTATTCCTATAACACCTGAGGGCATATGGCACTCTTTAACCTCAAACACTGACTCCTATTGTTTTTTTGCAAAAATTAAAATTGTAATTTTTAGATTTAGATTTTTCTTTAGATTTTTTTTTAACTTGTGGCTAGAAGCAGCTTTATCATTTTAAACTGTTTATACAATGAGTACACTGGCTTCAACGGGTTAACACATACAGTGTACAAGACAGTAAGCCTACTTATGGTTTTTACCACAGTGATTAGTCACATTAATTAGTGACAAAAACTCCTCACTTGCATTTCAAGAAATGTGAAACTCAAAGCAAACATGTTTCCAAAAACTACAGACATAATAACAGCATAATATGGATTAAGTTTCATTGAGTCAGACTTTGAAACATATTCTGGGACATATTTCTGCTTTTATAATGGCA